GATTATCGATTTTCACGAAAGTAAAATAAATTGTTAAATGTATTAGAATCACCTATCAATTATTTTTTGAAATTTTCGAAAAAGTTTTAGGCCCCTTTATAGATATCGAGGACTTGCCGATTTTCACAAACAATTTTGGGCAATTTTAGACAACTTAACAATTCAAACACTTTAGAACGAATAAAAATGGACCTAAATATATAGGTATTTTGATAAAAAGTTAAAAATATGCAAAAATAAGTGAAATTTAATACAAAAGAGACGAATTAGTATCGAAAATGCTTGACAAATCAAAATGTCGTAGGGGAATTAACATTGGAAATTAATATCGATACAGAAACAATTTTTTATATGGTATAAAATCCTACAAACAAAACTTTTTCATTCTTTTTTGATAATAAAGGTTTATTAATTAGACTTCTAAAAAATATAATCAAACGAAAACTATTTCAAATGTTTTGGTTTTTATATTTATTTTTAATTTTTGTATGTGATGTAATTACGTCTAAACTACTAAATCGAACTTAAAGTGAAAGTACATAACACGCGTTGAGGCTGCAACGCGTTATACACTTTTCAAACTTTTGATTTTATGTGTGAGAGAAAGAGGTCGTAGATTTTTGTTTCTCTTTCTCACACACAAAAATTAAAAGTTTCCCAAAAAAAGTTTTCCAGTGTGAACCAGGTCTAACACAGAACGCGTCATTTTGATCTTTCTTTTAATGTTTTTAAGACTATTACTGTTTTAAAAATGAAAGATTTTGTTTATTTTTTTAATATACAGTGTGTAACTTGTTAAGTGAATATACACTACATATTTCAACTTTTTTGACAGAAGCCTATAACGCGTTGCCGCGTACAACGCGTTGCCGCGTACAACGCGTGTTGTGTACTTCCACCTTTTGTTAAATTTGGACTGCATACAGATTTTTTGGCGCAGCAGACTCCTGCAATGCTAAAGACAAAAATCTAGTATTATAATATAGTTTTATGACATCACTAACCAAAATAGTTAAATTTCTTTAGCAACATTGTTCATTGAAGTGGCTTAAGGCCTATTTTTTTGTTATCCTATTTTAATTGTTTATATGTATCTTGTTCGAATGGTAATCTATATATATAAAGGAGTAGCATTACAGACTGACTGATTCCTCATCGCACAGCCCAAACGGCTGAACCTAGAATCATGAAATTTTGACAGTAGATGTGTTTTTTATAGATCCACTAAGGAGGTATTTTTGGAAATTTGTACAGGGGTAAAAAAGGAAAAAAAAATGGATAAAACAGGTTTTCTTAATTATCTTACCTAATATTAGTGATACAAGAAAATACAAATACAAGAATGCACATGTATCTACTCTTAAAATAAGCAGATGGGTGTCTGGTACTTTTTTGAAATTCGTACTTTTAAGGGGTGAAAATGTGTAACAAAGATGATTTTGATAAACAAAATAACATTTTTGTAAGATTTCATTTATAGTTTCGAGCCCAAATTACTTAATTTCGAATCGGCCTGTATATAAAATCAATACACCACCCAACTTATTTGATGGTGACCACATAATGTTTATTTATATGTAAAAAATGGGGAAGTGCTATATACTTTGGATACTTTACTTGGATCAAGGAAAGGTTATACCCTAATATGTATGTATGCATGTACATATACATACATATACCTTGCACATATGTATATACAGTTATTTTATTAGTTGTGGTTTTTATTTTAACGTGCGATCGTTTGACGGAAATCAAAATTACACTAATTTAATAATATTATGCATGTGTAGCAATATAATGCAATTATGTACATAGCTGATTCACAAATATTTTCCTTTAAAAGATAGTAATGTGATATTAACAATTTGCAACAAGGAAATGAAATAAACAGACATACGTAAATGTGTTTGCTAATTTGTGGATCGTGCACGAAAATAATCGGAAAGTTGGACACCTTACCGGTTATTCCAGATAAGAACAAAAGCAATCCTGAAAACAAGTAAGAATTTATAGTCGGGCATGGCGGACCATATGATCTGGTGATTATGTTACAAATGTTGATTATTTTTTAATAATAAAGCGTTTAATTTAATTTTTACTTTAATTCAGAAATATTTTAACAATTTGTTGATAAAAAGAGGGATTTTCTAAAAGAAGGGTTACAGGGTTCTTTAGTTCTATTATATTTATTTATTGAAGGAGGGTTTCAATACAGACCAGTGCCTGGTTTATGTATTTATCTCGAATCGAGAAAAAAATATAATAGTCTTCCTGTTTTTAACAGGGTTATTTACAAAACACATATAACATTTACACTGAACATCAAGAAGTGAAACGCTGTCAAAAAGTACCTAAGTCTACTGTCAGTCGGTACCTAACTCTAAGAACCCAGAAAATACTTACATTGAAAAGTAATGAGTTAAAAAGCTAATAAAACCTTTTATCACTACTTCTTCATTAGCATTTTATGTCATTATTTTAACACGGTGATGTCATTGGAGGCAAGTACTTCTACGCACGCTTACAAATAGGGAGTTAAAGAAGTACTTGCAATTTCTCTTACAAAACAGTTGTTGAGTAAGTTGTTTTGTTTTTTAAAAAAAGAGCCAGCTAGAATACGACCAGGGACTTTTGTTAGTCAATTGTTCTACACACTGCACCACTGCTTAGCTATTTTATTGCGCGTCAAATAATGGTTTTCACAAAAAAAAACTAATTTTGTTTTATTTTTTGTAAAACACAATTCTTAAAACGCAATTAAATAAAATGTGCAAACAAAATGACAAAGCCGAAAATAAAGTACTTCTGCGTCAGATTATAAGAAAGTCATTACTGGAGTACTTCTAAGTAATGCAGACGATAAGTAGGAGTCATTGAAAAGTAAGTGGTAATGGAAGTACAACCCATTACCGAGTTTTTGCTGGGAATATATTAGTAGAATTCTCAAGCCAACATAGTTGCAAAAAGTCGGATTTAAAAATATTGGAAAAAAATTATTGTATTTAAATTTTTATTTTAAAAGATTTCTTTAAATATTTTTCAACATAATTTATCTATAAAAATTTTAGAAGAATGTATGTTAGCTTTTTAATCTGCAATATTGAAAAAATAAATAATTTATTTGAAATATTTTTTCTTGTACCATACGAAAATTTACAACATTGTCTTTTTCAGTTTTAATTTCAACAACAAAAATTTAATGTCAAAAAAATAAAAAATATTTTTTTCGTTTGTAAAAAATAGATCTTTTCGGGCTTAAATTGTGCAAAAAAATAATCAAATATTACGTTAAGTAATAAAAAAAGCTTTGAAGTGCTATAAGCCACGAATTTTCGCGACAAAGTTTTGAGAGAGAGTGACATTCTTACATGTGTGTTGGAGCTACACAGATCTCGTCTATGAGAAGAGCGTAACGTTATTGTTATAAAAAAACGTCACAGTTTAATTTCTTAATGTTCAGTGGTTATTCAGTTTATTTTTAAATTGTACACATTAAAATTTAATAAAGATTTAAATTCCTTGTGTTCGCCTTGTTTTATGATCATAAATTTTCCGATAATATTGTATTTTTTTGGCATTATTCTACACAAAGGTAAATGTAAATATAAATTGAATAACCTTCAAAAAAACCTTTTGAACTCATTAGTTACTTCATACTAAATACAAATTGTCCAACTTAAATACAATTTCTATTACTAATCAAATAAACAAGTTGAAAGCAAATTCCGAAATATTTAGTAGTCAAATGTATGCAGTTTTGCAATACACTTATTATTATTATTATTATTGCTTTAAAGGCGCAAATCAAGAGGCAACCACAAAACAACCACGATTTATTGCATAACTAAAATATGGACAAAGTATTTGAAAATCTACTACATATGTATATAAGAAATGTACATTTACCGTTATTTTCTATACATATCTCAAACATTGCAAAGATTTTTTAATATTTAACTGAAAGTCACATTTGTCAGAAAAGCATCATTTGCAAACGATATTTAAAATATGGTTATTATAAAACATTTGAAAGTTTTCGTTTAAAAATGTCTAAAAGAAAATGGGATTTCTGAAATTTTCAATATTTTTTCATGTAAGTAGTAATAAGGTGTTTGGTATTAATCCTTAAAAATAAAATAATTATATTAAAAAAAATTAAAGTTATGAAAAAATATTTGTTGAAAAACAACACAAAAATTGTATGCAATGTGTCAAGAAATTAAAAGTTTTGTCATGCAAATTGCATCCAGGTTCAAGGGACGACATTTTATTTCGTATTTTGGCATTATTTTCGTTGTTTTTCTATTTTTGACATTTTTTCGTTTTCTAAAAACCAAAAATATATGGAAAAACAAATCTTTTTTATTGTCACTAACATGAAAATTTATTTTTATGCACCCCCAACATTTAACATATTTACCAACTTAAGGCTCAGTAGTAAAAATATAATTGTATTTTACGATTACTAAAACAAGAACAACAAACGTACATTTGAATTAAAAAAAGCGGAAATATAGAATGCAAAAATTAAAAACCTGTTAAATATTTCATTTTTGGCGTTGAAAATCCACTGAAATCACAGATACAAACCCAGTTCAAACAAAAATAAACCCACTTTATTATGTACCTCACTTTTTTATGTATGTATATATGTATGTTAAAGTATGTACATTAGACTTGTTCAAAAAATAAAGATTTTGCTCAGATGGGTGTTGTTTGTTTTTTTTTTTTTATTAATATGTATGTAAATATTAAAAATTAATATTGAAAAACAACATTTGTTGACATAAAAACGTGATGTATACTATAATTTTCTTTTTCACAAACAGCCGGCTTTCCATTATCGGATTGGTCTAAAATTTAACACAAATTTAAGACCCATCCAAACAAAATCGATATATTTTGAGCACTTCTAATGTACATACATACATACATATGTATGTACCTATGTCGGAATTTTAAAAAGTGGATTGGTTAGTAAAATAATGTGACACACTCACCTATATTTTGCGCATCAATGCGTGCATAATATCCTAATAGACTGATGATGAGCAACAACGATGGTGTTGTAATCTTCGGCATGGTGTTGGAAAGGACTTTGTACTCGTATTTAAATTAAATATTTTCACAACACATGTATCAAAACTTTTTTATTTTTGATAAGTTCACTATAAAGTGAGAAAGAAATATTAAATTATTCTTGAAAACTTCTTCTAAATTAATTTTTAGTTTTTCTTATTTTCGGATTTCTGTTTAATACGTTGAACTTTATTAACAGGTGATTTTTTAAGATGTGAACAGTTTTCTCGTTTCTTATGAAATGTATGTCACCGTTACACGCAGCAGGTTGCAATAAAAATAAAAAAAATGCTCCAACATTTGTTTAATAATACCAACTTTCTTTTTTATTTTGTATGTTTTCTTTTTTACACTAAGTACAAGTTAGTTTAAACTTTACTGCGTTATTACTACAAAATTTATTTTCATAAATGGGTAATTCAAACATTATTTATTTAACATCAAACTGTTTAAATCATTTTATCAAAATTTGTGTTGTCTACTTCACATTCGTCTTCGGATTATATGTGTTTTCCGTTATACTACTTCAGAGCGACTAAACATTCCAAGCTTGAGATTTCAAGCCATAAGTTTTAACAAAAAATTTCTTTTTAAAGCAACAAATTAAAAACACATACACACGCACGACCGACGAAGCTACGAATGAACGAACTATGAATCTATTAAGCCGACGAAAACAAGTGTATAGTAAAAGTTGTAGATGAAAGCCAATATAAAAAACTTTAACCGTTTTACTAACAATAAATATCAACAAAAACAACAATGTCAACCGCTCACAAAAATATTTTCCGCCGCTTGTTCCAACCGTCTTCTTAGCCAACTTAAAGATAACTAAAGTTTTACTTTTAGCTTAACACTGATATCTACTCGCGAGTCGCATTCAAGATACATAGTATGTATGTATATTTGATCAGCGGTATGTATGTATGTATGTAGAATCTACAGTGTAGATTCATAAGTTCATGAATATTTATGTACATTAGGGTGGGTCGAAAATAAGCTTTTCTCTGGGATCAACTTCTAATAGTGAAATTATGTTGTTTTTTAACTTCAAATGAAAGACCACTGAACATCAAGAACTGAAACGCTGTCAAAAACTATGAGAGGTATTTAGGTCATTATTTTTATGATTAATTCTTAAAATTCTAAAACGTCTCCCTCGTGATCGAATGACCTTAGTCGAAATTATATTATTTTAGACAGCCGTATACGATAAAGATTAACTTGTATCGAAATTTTCAATCGAGGTACATATTTGATAACGAGTAATCTATCGAATGCCTTTTCTCCAGTGTTCCCATTTTAGCACTTTCAGTGTTAGATTTAGCATTTTGCATCGTGAAATTAGCATAATTTGCTTGATAAAAACATTAAAAAATATTTCTATGATTTCTTTAAAAAAATTAAGTTAAGTTTAACTGATAAAAATATTATTGAAAATCAGTGGTTGGATATTACAAAACAACATTATGAAGTATATAATTTTGAAAATTTTATCGGTGAAAACTAATTTAATGAATTGTCTATTTTTGTATTGTCATTACTCGTTTTACCTTTTTCTAATGCCGAAGTTGAAAGGCTTTTTATATCAATGTCTATAATTAAAAATAAAATTCGAAATCGTATTTAAGCTGAATTTTTATGTACAATAATACAAATTCGAAAAGAATTGAAATTCGAAAATGCATTCTGTTACACTTAAGGCCTTAATAATAATAAATCAAATTTTGTATGGAAATTTAGTATTAAAAATGTTTTACAAAATAAAATGTTGTTTATGAATATATAAAAAATTATATTACAAATAAAATACGATCATTTGAAAAATATCAAAATGAGGATAACGATGAAGATATAGTACCAGAAATATTAGAGTCATGCACTACAACATCAGTATTTTAATAAAAACTAGAAAAAACAGACACTTATATTGTTTTGTTATATTCAAAAAAATTTTTCTTCTTCCGTAGAACATTTTAGCACTTGGTTTTTTAAGTTTTAGCATATTTTGATGTTCATTTTCTGGCAACACTGCATCTCTCTATTAACCAAAGAATAATAAGACCTGGTTCACACTGGGAAACTTTTGTTGAGAAACTTTTGATTTTGCGTGAGAGAGAAAGAGAAAGAATATCATTCATCTCTCTCGCGGTACGGAGTTTCTCGTACTCGGAAACTTGTTTTGTTTTGTTATTCTTCTCATACGTACAACAAATCAATGCAATTAATACGTAGTTTCTGAAACAAAAGTTTCTATGTGTGGACATTAAGGAAACTTCAAAAGAGAATTAAGAAAAAGTTTCTCAACAAAAGTTTTCTAGTGTGGACCAGGTCTTTACAACATAGCGTTTCCCTCTGACCTGGTCCACACTAGGAAACTTTTATTTCAGAAACTACGTATTAATTGCATTGATTTGTTGTTGTACGAATGAGAAGAATAACAAAACAAAACGAGTTTCCGAGTACGAGAAACTCCGTACCGCGAGAGAGATGAATGATATTCTTTCTCTTTCTCTCTCACGCAAAATCAAAAGTTTCCCAAACAAAGTTTCCTAGTGTGGACCGGCAGTCTCTTCACAGACGAGTTCTATGTAAATTCAACACACTTGTGAGAACTTACTTCTCTCACAATACATAAAAACTATGTATGTTTGGAAACAGTGGTGAATGCGGTTGGATCTCCAATACTTACGCAAATATTCTACTAATACATTCTTAAGCGACACGGCCACACATCAAATTTGTTTGACTCAAACGATAAGTTTTTTTTATTGTATTAGTGAAAAAACTCACATGTATATATGCGGTGTTAGTTTTTTTACTAACACAATCAAAAACCTTACCGTTTGAGTCAAACAATTTGATGTGTCGCCAAGGCGCTTTTATATAGTTGCATAAAATCGTACTTAAAATATTAGGAAAAATATATGTTACACTTAAATTTAAAATTTCGTAGATTTTTCAATTTTTTTATCCCAAACCTGATCAGTAAATATTTAATTAATATATTTTCGGACTTAAAATCTCTTTTATTTGAAAACAATTAAGTTTTTTTAATATTTGTTTTTATTTTCAATATCGTTTTTTCAATTTCAACACACAAAAATTAATTGTCAAAAAAATTAAAATTATATTTTTTTTCGTTTGGTAAAAATAAAAAGATTTCGGGTTGTTAAATACGGTAAAGGTGTGTAAAAAATACAAAATTTTATGAGTTTGTGAAAAAATGTCTTGCAAGTCCAATTATCCTTTTATTTTCGCGAAAAAGTTTTGAAGTATTGTGAGAGATGTAAGTAATTGTCAAAACTTCAATTACAATTACAAGTAATTGTAATTGGTTATTGGTCAATTACACATTACAAGTAATTGTAATTGGAAAATTTTCCATTACAATTACAAGTAATTGTTATTGGTTATTGCTCAATTACACATTACAAGTAATTGTAATTGACCATGTAGTGAATTACTTTGTGTAATCATTATCCCCCATGCCTGATGCACGGCCTCTTACCCTCAAATTAATTGAATAATATTTTACAGTCTTCCATTTGATGTTAAAATACAACTTTATAATACAAACTTTATTTTCGACCCACTCTAATGTACATTACGGTGCCCCGTGGATCACTTTTTAGGGGGAATACCTCTAAAACAATACGTTTCAATGTACTAAATACGAGATAAATAAAAATCAATTTTTTTGAAACGGTCCTCAGCGATTGAAAATCTTGATCTCAGTACAATATGTTCAAACAATTTTTTTGACAATCTTTTCGAATTGGATGTCAATAATTCCGTAATTTTGACCTTATCGCGGAAAGAAATATTTAAAGTTTCTGTTAGTGTATTTCTGGTCCGCAAAACTACTATTATTGTGTTATGAAGGGCATATAAATTAAAAAAAATTCTGAAATGAACTGAACCATATGCTAAACTATTAAATATTTTTCTGTATGTGCCTAAAAATAAGACAATTTTGACACCCATTTCGATGAACTGCGAAAATAATATGACTCTCCAGCCCACTAAAAATCATTTTGTGGACCAAAAATATTTTACAAAAATTTTAAAATTATTTTTCCAGGAAACAGATCAAAATTACGGAATTTTTGAGTCCCATTTCGAAAAAATCGAAAATATTTTATTTTTAAAAAATTATACTGTGGTCAGGATTTTAAATCGCTGGTTGGGACCTGAGGATAGTGTTTATAAACTGTTAACCGAAAAACCAGTTTTATTGCATATTTCGGTTTTTCGCCAACCGGTTTTTTTAAAACATTGGTTTTAGGTTAACCGGGTTATCCGGTTTTTAAGTCCCGGTTAACCAGTTAAAAAGAAATTATTTTTAGTACAAAATTGTATGTTTTTTTTTTTTGATTTTTTAAAAATGCGAATTACAAGCATTTTAAAAAAATTTGGATAGATAATTCTAAAAATTATTTTCCGTTTATGTATATGAAAACAGACCTAAGATTGTTAAACAAAAGTTAGGAAAGTTGTATATTATTTATATAAAATGAGATTGACAATTTCATACAATCAGGCATTTAAACCAATAAAAAATTAACTATTTATACTTGCTAGTCCTGGACATACAAATTGTATACCCTACACCACTATAGTAAGGAGGGTATTATGCTTTTGTGCTGATGTTTGTAACACTCAAAAAGTTTGTTTTCTTATGATTTATTATGTATGTACGTCTTATTAGGTAATTCATAATATTTCGCAAAATGTCATTTTTCAACTAAATATTATAATATTTTAATAATTTCCAAACATTTCGGTTAACCGGTTAAACCGGGTTTTTTATACTCGGTTAACCGACAAACCGGTTTTCTGGAAATGGTCAATTTTCGGTTAACCGAAAAGTCGGTTTTTTATAAACACTAACTGCGGACCATTCAAATAAAATATTCTTTTATTTTTCTCATGTTCAGTACATTAATGCTCATCGATCGAGTGGTATTCCTACATGAAATTCTGAAAAATGCTGTTTCTCGGGACACTCTAATGTACATACTTACATATCGTCACCTAAAACGCAAACGGCCCTATATAACATTTTTAAACTTTTACAGGAGAAGCAAAAAACTATTTAAATAAAGTGTTTAATAGTGAAACTTATCATTTGTTACGATAGTTGACAATGGCGTATATAAAAATGGATAAATTGGACTTTTTGCCTTTAAAATTTTATTTTTTTTGTAGATAGGGCCTTTTGTTTTTTGTCAATAAAATTGATAATTTTGGTCGGAGGACTTTTTGGTGTGGACATTTGTTTTGATGCAATACATAAAAATACATCTCTGATCTAATGAAACTTTCTTGTTTTTTAAATCATTTCAAAAAATGAAAAGAGCCATACGATTGTCAATTTTTCCATTTGTTTTCTCTCTCATATGTGATGGCTTTATTACATACTAGCATACCCTGGGTGCTTCGCTACCCTAACATAAATTAAATTCATACAAAATTTTGTTTACTTTTATAGAAAATTAAAATTGATTAAAAATTGTTTTAATGTTTTAGTTTTTTACGTTCAATATCACGTGAATAAATTCGCATTCAAAAAGAAGCTATAAAGTACTATAAAATACCTCATTTAATCAAAAAAATTATGTTTCTGTGTTCAATATTATATATAATTCAAAAAATATAATTTCATGAATGAAAAAGTACCAAAAGTCCCTTTGAGTAGATTCTCATTCACTAAGGTCCCAACATTTTAAATTTTATTTTCAATATCTATGTTTAATATCGTAAAAATATCAAAAAGTACCATCGGAAAAACGAAAAAGTACAAAAATCTCTCTCAATAAATTCTCACTTAATAAGGAGCGTGTGTCATGTGTTC